TAGACTTCTCATTTCCACTGGTTCTAGGCTGTAACTGCTTCTAGTACAGAAAACCTGTACTACTACTAAGATCATGTTTCATTATGTTTCAAGTTAAAAGTAAACTTTTCCCAAGACAGGCCAAATTTTTATTTCCAATCCAGCAGGCATCCCAGTAGAAAAGGCATGTTTATGTACAGAATTCAGAATCCTTACTAAAGCATGATAAATAATGATTTTCAATCAAATAATTACAGCTGGTTTCTCTTGGGTTAAATTTCAGTAGGCTCAAAGTGACTAAGCGCCAAAGTATTTTCAAACAGTTTTCCAAACAGAAACTCAGAGTGCAAAATGAATAATGTAATCCCTTAACAGCTAAAAGTTCAGTTAAAAAATAATTTTTCTTAATTATTAAGGAATATATTTTCCAGGTTGATACATTAGATTTTAAAAATATGAAAATAGAAAAGCTACAATATACAGAGAACAGGGTAGAATTTATTGCTCCTTCCATATTGGACTCCTGCTAAATCTGTTGCACCCTGTAGGTAGATTTGTAAACAGTTATAATCTAGATACTGTCTTTTTATAAGTTGCTTAAGGAGCTATCTAAAGATGCATGGTCTTTGAAAACTCAAGCCATTGGTGGCAGGCACCGATGTAATCATTTTATTACAGTTTCAGGGAAAAAAATGTATGATTAACTGCATGATACTATATGCTTATACTCTTATTGTACATCTGATTATATCAAAACATTCAAAGACCTCAGGTTTTCTAAAATGATACCAACTATTATATCAGTATAAAGAGATTTTAAAATGTTTCTGTACTAACAGTTACATATGTAATATAACAGCACAATTTTTTAAATCTTAGAAAAAAGTGCAATGATGTGGTACTGTATGTATAATGGAAGGTTACTTAAGATTATTTCCTTTAACAACTTAAATAATAAGATAAATATACATTTTTGACCCTATGAACTGATTCCTTTATCAACTATTAGAACATCCATTAGATCTAATAGCAACATACTTAGAACTTACCTAAAATGACAGAGCCTCAAACAGACCTCAAAAATTTCTTCAAAGCACAATTCCATGATCATACATTTAAAACTCAAAATATTATCCATTCTAAAATCTGCAAAGACACAACAATCCTCCAATTTAAAAAAAAAAAAAGCCACTGTCTAAAACCATGTATAATGTGTATGCCATGTTCTTGAGATACTACAGAGGGAGCTGCTAACACAGATGAATAATACATTAAGTTGAAATCAAGTACTAACTTGAAATATTATTAATCTTCAATATTTTTATGTTTTAGTAGTAAGTTTTCTTATTTTTCAGTGGGAAACTGAGGGAAAAATGTTTTTGCTTTGGCTACAACAAATTTATTTGTATTAAAAAGTACAGGACATAGAAAACTTCCTATTTAGGATATTAAAAGAATCACCAAAGGCAGAGCTTATATGTAATTAAGGCATTTCTTACATTTCCATTTAATAGCTATCCTAAAATACAAATTTTTAGTATCCTGTTCTCCAAGCTAAATCATGCCTTCCTACAAAGTGTTTATAATCCTGGGGCAGCTATAGGAACAATTCCTTTTTATGTTAAAAGGATTCAGTGTTTAGCACAACCAGTGGAAAACACCTTTTTTCTGTGCATGATTCTATATATAGCTAAATATTATACAACAGAAAAGAATAATAATTGAGGTTTAGGTTTGAAAGACTCTCCTGCAGCTATCTAATTACAACAGGTGTCAATTTTTTAACCTGAAGGTAAAAAAATTAAATAAGAAAGTAAAACATTTAAGTAAATCGTGTACCAGACGGTTCTACAAATATTTTATGGCAAAGACTTTTAATTAAACATTCATGAACAATTTTGGGGAGAGGAATTTCATAGAAACATAATGCTAACTAATGAAATGGGCTGAAATCAGCCACCAACAGGTACTATACTATCTATGCCACTCACAGTTTTAAACCATAACGATGCTAACTTTCCCTCTGCTCTGCAAGTATTTGAAATAATAATCAATCAAGGATCTCCCAGACTCCAATTATGGTCACTAATAATAAGTGAGAACTCCTAGATTATAGAAGCACACAAAGTTTTTAAAGGAATGACAAACCCAAGTATACAAAATTAATGCCTCATATAAACAATTCATGCTTGAACTATGAGACAGAAAATGAATATTATAAATTAGCTAAGTGTTCAGTGAAGAGAATCTAAATATATCTGGCAGTTATTAAATATAAACATATTCACCAATTAATTATCTTACTTGAAAACATTCTTTCCTCACAGATGGCCTAGGTGCAATAAAGGGTTAACTCAGCAGCTCTAGGTTACCCAAACCCTACACATTCCAAAAGTCTTTAGGACTGGCTCAGGACCAACTCCCGGGAAATAACCTTTGAGCCCTTGCAATGTCCTGCCTCATAAGAGTGTCTTAATATACCTGGGGCTTTGGTCAAATCAGACAGTTTATGCTAACAGTATGATTTATGGTGATACCCGGTTTTGTTTGCCTGGGGCCTTGGGCCAGCTGTATTAGAGTAACCTCTGGGTGGGGAAAGAGGAGGAGGGCCAGAGACTTGAGTAGCTAAGGTCAGCCCTGTGGGTGCTCTATGCCTACCTGACTGACCTCCAATAAAAACCCTGGACGCTAAAGCTCAGGTGAGCCTCCCTGGTTGACAAAATTTATCTGTGTTGTCATACATTGTTGCTGGGAAAATTAAGCAAGATCTGTGCAAATCTACTGGGAGGCCAAGTGGAACTTTGTACCTGGTTTCTCCTGGACTCTGCCTTATGCACCGCTTTCCTTTGCTGATTTAATCTGTATCATTTTGCTGTAATAAACTGTAGCCATGGTAGAACACCTTTCCTGGATCCTGTGAGTTATTTCAGCAAATCATGGAAGCTGAGGGTAATCTCGGGGACCCCTGACACAACCTATAATACAATAAAATTCTTATTTAATAAAGATTTCTTCTAATTTCAAGGTTTGTTGTCAGCAACGTCATTTCCAAATAGGTAGAAATAGCATTACACATTCATAGGAATGCCTTCTAATATGTAGGTTCCTTTCTGGCCAACTAAAAGGATAAAGGTGACTCCTGGCAAAGTGTAGGAAGTTACTTCTTTTTTTTTTTTTTAAAGATTTTATTTATTTATTTGACAGAGAGAGACACAGTGAGAGAGGGAACACAAGCAGGGGAGTGGGAGAGGGAGAAGCAGGCTTCCTGCCAAGCAGGGACCCCAATGTGGGGCTCAATCCCAGGACTCTGGGATCATGACCTGAGCTGAAGGCAGACGCTTAACGACTGAGCCACTGGGCGCCCCGGAAGTTACTTCTGATGAATGACACAAGTATGGCCCCACTCCCACGAGTCCCTTCTTCAGTGAAAACCTGGGTAATTTTCAGGAAGTCTATGAAATGGAATCATCAATGCCTTCTCCTCAGTTGTTACTTCTGATCTATAGTTGAGGAGAAAAGAACTTTCTCAATTCTTCTATCCTTAGGGTAATTCTGTGCTTTTTAAAAAACCGTATGTCAAGAACCATCTGACCAAGCCCAAGATCTCAAATATAGAAAGACACTCTTGTCAGCCAGAAGCTTTCTCTGGAAAGTGCAGGGTTGGAGCACCCCAAGTCCACTGAGTTAAGCCTTTACTAATTCCAGAAAGATTCGTGGGTTAAACTATCACCGAGGATTACAGCATTCAAGAGCTTTAGGTTTATCAGATCACAACATCCGAGCAGTGTTGATAAGTGACAATTCTATCACCTTATAACGTTTCCCAATTCCCCAGTCAGCTTAGCCATTCTCCTTCCCTTAGGGAAGCTCTTAATTGTTCCTAGTTACTAAAGAAATTATCAAAGATAATTGTCTAGTATAGAATTACCTACCACCTGTGTAAGAATGAGATTTTTATCTCACTGCTAAGTCTGAAAAACTATCTTGCTTTCATATTGGTTTCCATTCTAAGTCATAGGCCTAGTGTTAATAAAAAGCCTAGAGTGATATACTGTCATGAGCTCACTGAATCCAATGATTTAGGACTCCCTGTCTTTCACTTAAAGTTTTACCCAGTTAAATGCAGAGTGGTAAATGGTGCTGCTTTGCCTAGGGCGAACCTATGTCTCAATTTTTTATTTTCATGTATAGTCCCAGGAGCTAATACTAGGCATTATTTTACAGTTTATTATCCATGATACCTAACATACTATTTTTACATATTAACAGTAGTAATATAATGTTAAAGCCTCTATCCTGAGAGAATCATGTAGGAGTTGAAATAAAGACCACAGAGTCAGACCGTCTGGAATTGAACCTCAATCTCAACACTTGCTAACTCTGTGATCTTGTCAAGTCTTTTTGATCTTTTGTGCCTCAATTTCCTCTTCTGTAAAATGAGAACAGTCACAGTATCTTTCCCAGATGGTTGTTATAGGGATTAAACTCGTATGTGTAAGTAACTTAGAATTGTGCCTGGCATCTGATAAAAACTTATGTAAGTAATGACTATTACCAGCACCATCACCATTACTCCAAAGAACTTGGGATTTGACTTACATTATCTCTTTAATTTTCACCTTACCCCAAGTGGTAGAAAAAAGGGGCGGTATTATCCTCTTAACTGATAGGCAGTTGTTATATAGCAACAAGAATACTTTCTTGAGTTCCATACAACATAGCTGCCTCACTGGTTTCATCTGCAAAAATGGGGATGGTAATAACCTATCTCATAAGGCTGTGTGCAGGTTAAGTAAAATATGTGCTCCAAAGTCCTGTTTTATGGTATCACAATTCAGGATACATTGATAATATTGCTCTCTGTCAGATACTTGGGATTTCAAAATTACCTGGTTCCAGGTACTCAACCACCTCTGCAAGGATGAGATTTTATACATCTTAAAGCATGAACCCCAAAAGGTGCTAGAAGAATAAATTAATAAATTATTGTCCCCTTCTTTCACATTCCCTGGTTAGGATACATTTCTTCAAAATAGTCAATGTGTGGAGGTTGGAGTATGTCAAGGGCAGAGAGTACCTGAGAAAAGGAAAAAAAAAAAAGTCAAATTTAGAGAACTAAAAAGGAAGCAAAATATGACATAAATGCAAGTAATACTATTAACTCTTTAATGATTTATGGCTTAGTTACAACTGCCCACTGAGATTAACTAAATGTATCAGTCAAGAAACAGTCCTAAACATTAAGATGGGTTTGTAAACTTACTATGTAAAAGACAATTCTATCTAAACTAAAATGAGAGGGGCAGTTGGGTTCTACTACATGCTGCCAGACCGCTACATGGAAAGTGTGTTGAAAGCCCTATTTTTAACAATCAGTGTTGCTCTAAGAGCACGAGGAGACACACCTACCATTCATTCCTCTACTCCTCTGTTCAAAAAATGTTTACCAAGTACATTCTCCCTGGCCAGCACTGTGGTAGGCTCTCTGGTTATACTGATAAACGAAAGTGACACCATCCCTGCTCTCATGACTAGTAGAGAGGAAAGCATTAAACAAACAAGCAGTTACACAACTATCTAAATAGGACGTATATTATCTGAAGGGAAAAAGTCAAGAGGAATGGGGGACAAAAAGTTTCCCTGAAGTAGCACTAAGACTTGAAGGCTGAATAGGAGTTGGTCAGGCAATGAGTAGGTACTGTAAAGGCACTGAAGCAAGAAGGAACCAGGCAAATTCTAGAAACAGAAATGCCAGTGCTTATGGAACAGACAGGGTGGGAGGAAAACAGACTGGGATAAAGTAGAAGAGGAAGGCAGGGGATATTATCACATAAAATCTCTTTAAATTTTGTTAAGCATTTTAGATTTTATTCCAAGTACAAAAAAGGAAGTCACCAGGGTGGAAAGAAGACTTTAAGGCATCTGAAATTCAAGTCCTTTATAAAAGCAGAATACTAACAAAGTCACTTCTGCCTTTGAAACGTAACAAATAGGCCTACTTCCCCTACCAGCTGTCCAGCTATTCTTTAAAGTCCCATCTATGATGTCACACTTAAGAATCTGAACCTATCTAACTAATAAGAAATGTGAGGGTCAAAGAACATGGAAGAAGTTATTTAACAGGAAATAAACTGTGTGGTACAAGTTCAAATTTTCTATCTTTAGCTTTTTTAAGAAAAAAAATTTTTATTATGGAAAATTTCAAACATATAAAAGTGCATAGAATAGTATCAAGAATGCTCATGTAATCAAAACCCAGTCTTAGTAATCTACAAATAGCCATTCTCATTGCATCTATACCCCCATTTTCTCTATATAATTCTGAAGCAAATACCAGACTTATTTCAGCCATATATCAGTAAGTATTGGTAAAAGATGAAAACTTTTATTTATTTTTAAATAATGTGGGGCTTGAACTCATAACCCTGAGATCAAGAGTTGGACACTTAACCCACTGAGCCACCCAGATGCCCCAAAGAGAAAAACTAAAAATATATAATTATCAAGTCTAAAAATTTTGTTTTTTAATATCATCAAATATCCAATTCTGAAATTTCCAATTTTCTTTTCTTTTTTTAAAGTTTTTTAGTCTAAATCAGGACCTAAATAAGATTTACATATTATGGCTGATTTGTGTTTTAAGTTATAACATATAGATTTCTCCTCTTTTTCTTTTCCCCTTGCAATTTACATGTGGAAAAACCTTTGCTCATTTTTTTTCAGCCAAGCATTTAAAATTCTAAATTAAACTAAAACTTCCTGTAATGAAGAAGTCTTTACTCATTTTAAAACCAGTTACATATAAAAGTTCGAAAATAGTTTACATGCTTTAACCTGGATCTTTCCTTTCTGAATTAAAATGCTTATACTTAGAATCTTGGTATAAATGAAAGATAACAGATTTTTCAGTTTCTTCAAAAAATAACTTTTATCATATAAAAGGTAAATTATTTCATTTCTATAAATTTAAAACCCTATAATTAGCTAGTGTCACAAATTCATGCAAATTCATTTCTCATTATGCGATAGAACAATTTTTAACATGAATATTTGATGTTTGAGGAAGACAGAAATTAGTGTTTTACTTGACATCTTTCGGACTCTCCGCTCTGTATCTGAACAACATACATCCTGTCTTGGGGGAAGCCAGAATGCAATGAGTGACAGCGTCCATTAGACAAAGCTATTTTACACTTCAAATCTATCTGCTATAATTAAAGGTTATCTAGAGAAAGTGACAACCATACATTTTAAACCTTGATGAAGAATGAGGCTTTCTTATTTCAGATTTGATGAAGCTTTTTGTAGAAAAGCCATATAAAACAGGGTCAGACATTTGCACTAAAGCATTTAGCTGTGATTGTTAGCTTCAAAGGTACAATATTTTAAACTCTGCTTGGGATTTTTAAAATGCCTCTTATTTTATATTACTGTTATTTTATCTCAAAATGTTTATCAGAGGATGGCATTCCACAGTGCTTCCAGGGGGGCAAAAACAGTGCTTAGATCAGTAGAAATGATCCAGGAATCTCAGAAATGATGTAAATAAGTAAGAAGGAACAGTACCAGTTTCAAACTCCAGACTTCATGCCTGACTCCCTATTTAAATAGCCTGATTCCCTCTATAACCCCATTATTTGTGGGAATAGAGTGTGTGAGATTAGCCTTATGATGTAAATAGGAGGACTCTTGTAAAGACTTTGACTTGTAAGGAGTCAAAGTATCCCCAAATACCACCAACTCTTCAAAGGATCTCAAACACACAAAAAGCAAGCAGACTTGTCTAATTAAAAAAATGAACTAAAATACTTCTGTAAGTAATGGTCATTACCAAACAGTGTCTCAGCACATTTCTCAAATCTTTTAAGAACTAGACAAAAGCCCATTATGGTGGCTGTTTTTTTAGAATTTTAACCTCTGTGATTTTAAGATTCACTATAAACTGGTTACACAATGCAAAACTGGCTTCTTTTTTCTTAGCTCTTTATCAATAAAACAACTACTGTAAATAATCCTAAATATAAAAACTAGAAATTTAACTGTTCATAAAATCCAATTAAATCCCATGTTTAGCAAAGGAGCTACCCCTTCCCCAATCTTACTCCCCAACAGATTTTAAATTCCTTAAAGTAGAGACTATGTAATTACTCTTATTTTTAATAGAGTTGTAAAAAGTATGCCAAGTGTGTAATTTGATTAATTTTTACACAAAGTATATAATATGATGATTTTTTACTCCATGGTTAACATCTAGATCAAGAAGTTAAGCATTTCGGGGCGCCTGGGTGGCTCAGTTGGTTAAGCAACTGCCTTCGGCTCAGGTCATGATCCTGGAGTCCCCGGATCGAGTCCCGCATCGGGCTCCCTGCTCGGCGAGGAGCCTGCTTCTCCCTCTAACCCTCTCCCCTCTCATGTGCTCTCTCTCTCTCATTCTCTCTCTGTCAAATAATAAATAAAATCTTTAAAAAAAAAAGAAGTTAAGCATTTCAACACCCCAGAAGGTCCCCTTGTCCCTTTCTGATCAAAACCCATCCCTGCTCAGAGGTCACCACTATTCTCATTTCCATCACCACAGATTTGTTTTGCCTGTCCTTGAACTTTATACAAATTGAATCATAAAGAATGAAGTCTTTTGTGTATGACTTTTTTCCTTTACTGTTATGCCTATGAGATTCATCCCTGTTGATATGTGGATCAGTGGTTCATCCTTTTTATTGGTGTGTAGTATACCATCATGTGAATGGACTATAACACAATGTACTTAACCAGAGTACTGCTGGCAGACATTTCGGTTGTTTCCAATTTCTAGGTATTACGAATAAAGCAGCCATGAACACTCTTGTACATGTCTTTTGGTGGATATATGATTTGTCTTGAGTATACCAAGGAGTACAACTGCTGGATCACTGGGTAGGTGTGTATTTAGCTTTAGTAGAAACTACCAGTTTTCCCAAGTGGTTTTACAAATTTACACTCTTACCAGCAATTTTTTTTTTTTTAAATTTATTTATTTGACAGAGAGAGACACAGTGAGAGAGGGAACACAAGCAGGGGGAGGGGAGAGGGAGAAGCAGGCTTCCCGCAGAGCAGGGAGCCCGATGTGGGGCTCGATCCCAGGACCCTGGGATCATGACCTGAGCCGAAGGCAGACGCTTAACAACTGAGCCACCCAGGCGCCCCTTACCAGCAATTTTAAAGTCTTCGGTTAATGTGCATTCTTGTCAACAGTAGGTATTGTCAGTCTTTTTGATTTTAGCCATTCTGGTGGGTATATTATTATCTCATTATGCTTTTAATTTACCTTTCTCTGATGACTTTGAGCACTTTGTCATATGCTTATTAGCCATTTGGTTATCCTCTTTTGTCAAATTCCTGAGTCTTTTACTAATGGGCAAAGTTCTTGATTTGTAGAAGCTCTTTATAAGATATATGATGTTTAGATATAGAATTCACAGTTCAAAAAATGTCAAGTAAAATATTTACTTCTAATGGTCTTCTTCAAATGCTAAATATTTATAATTGCCTATCACATAATATATTCTGGAAACAAGTTTTTTGTTGAATATATGTCTGAGGCCTGTCCTTTCATTCTCTTAACTTTTTTTTTTTAAAGATTTTATTTATTTATTTATTTATTTTTATTTATTTATTTGAGAGAGAGAATGAGATAGAGAGAGCACATGAGAGGAGGGAGGGTCAGAGGGAGAAGCAGACTCCCCGCTGAGCAGGGAGCCCGATGCGGGACTCGATCCCGGGACTCCAGGATCATGACCTGAGCCGAAGGCAGTCGCTTAATCAACTGAGCCACCCAGGCGCCCTCATTCTCTTAACTTTTGACGAGCATTAATTCTTAAGGTTAAAAGCTGTCCAGTTTAGCAATTTTTTTTTTTTTTTTAAATAGTAATGCTTGGAGTGCCAGGGTGGCTCAGTCAGTTAAACTTGATTTAGGCTCAGGTCATGATCTCAGGGTCATGAGACCAAGCCCCACGTCAGGCTTCACGCTGAGTGTGGAGACTGCTTAAGATTCCCTCTCCCTCTTCCTGTGCTCCCCCCTCAAAAAACAAACAAATAAATAAAATAGTTAATGCTTTACTTGTCTCATTAAAAATCTTTGCTTATCTCAAAGTCACGAAGATATTTTCCTATGTTTTACTACAGAAGCTTTATTATTTTATCTTTCACATTTAAATCTACAATCTGTTCTGGATTAATTTATGTATCTGTTGTGAAATAGACTTTGTTCAACTTCATCAAGACTGTCTTGAGTATTTTAGGTCTTTTCCAATTCCATAAACTTTAGAATGTTTGTCAATTTCCTCACACACATATATACAAAACCCTACTGGGTTTTTGATTGGGATTACATTGAATATAGAGTATAGAGCTCAACTTGGAAAGAACATGCATATTAACCAAACTGACTTTTCCAATTCATGAACACGAGAATGTTTCATTTTAAATACATGAAGAAACTGCCCAGTACCACAAATTTTAGGCACAGAACAAACAAAACCAAATCCACTGAAAAGTAAGCCAGTCTACAGCATCCTTTGTCTTTTCACACTCCCTAGCAGCAGAAACATTAGCATAAATGTCTGCAGCTAAACAGCACGTCTGCATTCAGAGAAGTGTCCTCTTGGTCCCATATTGGTATGAGTTAGGTCAGTCTACACAAAGGAAAACGCATCGTTCTTCTTTGCCTCTACTACCTCCTCCTCTTTGTTTTCTCTATCCCTCTAGAGTATTTCAGAATTAAAAGACTGGGAAAAAGTAACTCTGAGAGAGATCACTGAGGTTATCATGCCAGACTTGGAGATTTCTTTTTTCTGTCACTTTCATTTACTTACTCATTCTTCAAATAGACTGACTGCCTATTGCATACTTAGTGCTATTGCCTAAGGACAAGAAAAAGCCCCAGATTTGTATTGCAGGGGATCTTTGCAGGAATCAGTGGACCTTTGAGGGGGCTCCGAAAGGGCTTTAGAGGACTAGTGAAAGCCTAACATGACATAAATATCATGTGTATGTGCATTTTTCCAAAAGAGCTTTTATCAGATTCTCAAAGGAGCACAAAACTGGAAAAACAAAAAACAAAAAACAACCTCAATCACGCCTTCTCCATGCTGATAATATGACAATTATGTGTGTGCATAAACACATGCACAAGTGCATAGGTGGGTAGAGAGTATTTTTGCCAGGTTTTGTAATAGCTCAGATTCTGACTAGACTCTAATGATAAGCCCAGCCAACAACAACCTTTAGAAAGTTAAACCCATTACTGTTTCTCTAAGTTACTACATCAAGGTGAATCTATCCTTAAAGAAAAGTGTGTGTGTATATCTCAATCAGTCAGATCAACTAAAATCAATGAATTTGATACAGTGACTTTTTTTTTTTTTTAAAGTAAGCTCTATGCCCAATGTGGGACTTGAACTCATGACCCCGAGATCAAAAGTTGCATGCTCTACCGACTGAGCCAGCCAGGCACCCCTGATATAGTGACTTTGAAGGTTCTGTTCAAAAGAAAATCCAAAGCCTCCCAGGGCTTTGTAGCTATTCATGTGGAGGATACAAAAAACATTAAAAGCCATCCAAATTAAAATCCAACCTTCCTACGGTGGCCAGGGTAATCTTTCTAAATGCCATTTTCATCATGACATTCTTTTCTTCTCTTTCAATCAAATCTTAATCTCAAAAGGCTCATTTTAAGGTTTACCTCCTCCATGTTTAAAGCATCTCTGAGCTTCTAAGTCCACAACAATTTCTCTTTTCCTTAATATTATGGTACTTGTGTGACATTCACCTGAGCTTTAAAAATTATAGATCCCTGGGCCTCAACCCCAGAGATTCCAATTTAGTGGGTCTGGGATGAGACCCATGAATCTGCCTTTTTAAGGATTACCGTGGTGATTATAATATACTTCTAGATTTGGTTGCTCAGTTTTTTCCATGCACAAAACACAGACTGTCTTGCATTAATATTTAACTACGCAGGTAGTCCTCCCAGAGCACTGTAATCATAGTATTCAACACATTACTAAACTCCTTAAGGTTAGAAAGCCCTAAAGCTAAACAGTTTAGGAATATAGGATGTGCAGAATACATGTTTTTTGAATTAATGAACATGGGCTCTGAAGCAAGAGAGACTCCAACCTTGTGCCACCCTGACCTTGGGCAAGTTACTTAACTCTAAGCTTTGGTTTCCTTCTCTGCAAAGTAAGGATAACAAACCCTATCTGACAAGATTTAAGGATTAAATGAATTAATGTATGGAAAGCCTCTAGGTACATCCTGACACATAGGAATAAGTGTTAAATACCTGATCCCTCAAAAAAGGACATTTTAAACCTTTTTTGTATCCTCCACATGACCTAGCACTGCCTCTATACAGGACAATAATACACATTTGTTGCCTTAACTACATCAAATACCAGTTGCTTCTCAGACTGGCATTGCACACATAACAGGTATGTGGCACTGAGACGCTTCTGGAGATCTCAGAGCACAGCATAAATTCATGATATATAAAATAATGGTGCCATACCATCTTCATCTCTATCCATCTGTCTCACTTTTGAATATTCCCACAGAAGTCACAAGCACTCACTTATGATAGAGCTCAGGAGCTCCAACTGGTTGCTATGTTTTGATAGGTATGATTTTCAAGAATTTTATTTCTTTTCTTAGGCTACTCACTGACACCACCTTTGTAACTTAATTAGTTACTCTATAGGAATGAGTCAGGGGCAAAGATACCAATATATATAGATAACAGCCTATTACACCATCCCTCCTTTATAAAAGAAGCCAAGATAGGTCTGAATATAATAAGTCATTGAAATCCTTAGTTAGCAAATTTCTTCACCATGGATACCTTTACTTGAGTCTCTAACAATGTAAATAACGTTTGTCCTCTTTGATGTTGGGATGCCACTCAAATTCAAGAAATAAATAACTAAGCAAGCACTAGACATCTTTCTAAATCACTTACAAAATTTGAGGGACCAGTCATAAAATAGCAACTCAAGTGGTATTTTCAAAGTCACTGAAACAAACACATTTTTAGGCAATTCCAATTGACTGAAAGATAGCAATAACTTTTTTTAAAAAGTTTAAGGAAAACGGATGTCAAGGAGTAATCAATAAGATGAAATATGTCAAAGCAAGGAATTTCAAGTAAACATATCTGTTTGATATTCCTACTTTTACCAAACACCTCAAACTACAAATTTCTCTCTTAAAGTGAGACCTACACTTTGGTCAAAGTTCTAAAAGTTCCTGTGCAAACAAGCAGTCAGACTCACAAGGAATTACTATATTATGATAAAGTTTTTATTTTAGCTATTAAAATAACGTGGGTTGAGTACCAAATGAAGAATGTGAGGCAGTTTTTCTTATCATATGAAATCGAAAACTCCAGAGTCCAATGCTAAGATCCCCAGGTAAATTTTACATGTATCAAGCATTTACTTCAGGTTTGAGGAGAAGCTATCTCTCAAACCATAATGATTCTTCTATTCACCCATGAGTCTTGACTTCTCTCAACACAGCCATAATAAGCTAACCTATGTTACTTTAACAGCTATACTGTTTTTTAAAAGAAGAAACTGTTTCCCTACATTTTTAAATTAATCTCTTATTTCAAATATTAAAGGTTAAGAATAAAGCATTTAAAATCAGGGACCAATTATTTCCACTTAAATCACTCATACTACATATTACACTCTATGTTAAATATTAGTATCATTCCTCAGCTGACTATTAACATTTTCTTTACATCAATTAATGTTTATCTGTTGATCAATACATCTTAGAATTCACTTAAACTTGCTCATTTTTGACAAAAAAATGGTCTAATTTGTCTCAGGTTCCCAAACTTCTTAATAACTTGCACATCCCCCCCCTTTTTTTTTACTCTCTTTTGCTCTCTACTAACACAATTAAGCATGCGTAGGAAAAAGTCTATCCCAAAGACCAACTTCACTTACATTATCATGTTTAAAAAAACACAACATCTTCAATTCCCGGAAGACCCTTTTGCAAGAGACCAGATTCTGGAAGACGTTGGGCATCTTTTTGAGTGCTACTCTCTTTCCATCTCTTGGATCTGTTACTGACCTAAAGAAGCAATATTTGGGGGAGAAGGAAAAAAGAAAGAGAGAAATCAATTCCAAACTTTGACCTTCAATGTTTCAGAGCATGACAATCATCTTTATCTTAAACTACTCAATCCACTTAAACAGTGTTTAAGATATCAGTGAGAAAGAAGAATTAAAACAAGTACACACTTAAAATCAAAGGGAATGTTTAGCTCATCCAACTTAATTGCCATGCTTTTTTTTTTTTTAATCCTTCTCTAAATTTCTATAAACACTTTTTCTGAGAGGTCACTTAAGAACACATCTCAGGTAGGAGGGCTATTAATGGTAAAGCCATTTTAAAGATGAGGGGTGTACAGATTAATACAACTGAAGTCAAATCAGTTCATTCTCGGAACCAAATTCAAGATGGAAGAGATGTTCATTCAGATGTCATTACGTTTAGTTCAATATAGAGAACACAATTTAATTATTTTGGCTTCTTACATAAATGAACATCTTTTAGTAATATGGATTTCAATCCCACCAGTAGCTGAACAGTGTCCCCTCCTCATAAGTCCGAGTGCCAACTTAGGGCCATAGCTTCTAGATTATGAAGACTTCTTCCCTTTTGCTTCTTATAAGGCTCTTGGTGTGGTAACTGTGCCTCCTGTAGTTTTTCTTTAATAGCTCAGTGTCCCCCCTTTTTTATCTTTTAGTCTTCTAACACCTGTATATCCAACTCCTTGTATTACATTTCCCTATGTTTGACATACTAGTATGGTTTCCATTTTTCTGACTGGACCCAAACGATACATATTAAATCAAATAGTTAAAGGAAACAAAGCAATAAATTTGTTAAAGATGGCCAACTGACCATTTTGCAAGTGATTTTCCATGAATTATCTTAAAGCTTTTCCTTCCACCCAACACATATGACTGGTTGTCCTTGTAGAATTTATTCCTGTCAAATTTATTTTGCGGATTCCTGCCTGTCATTCCTGGCTACCATTATCTTTCAGTTCCAGTTTCAGTTATCCAATGCTTTGGCTATCCCTCCCAGATTTGTGTCATTTAAAAAGTCTGTTCCATAGGTGATCAATGACTTTATCCAAGTTATTAACAGGACAGAAGAGATCTCTGCAACAGATACAACACTAGAAATTACTTATGAGCCTGACCTCCAATTATTATTGAATTACTTATTTAATTAACTATAATCACTCAGTTTATTTCTTCATCTTGTCCACAAGAAATCAGACACTCATCAAATTGCCTTCCTGAAAATGAAGCATTACTGTTACCTACCAACCTGTCTAAAAACTATACCAAATTTCTTTATGAATACCATGACTTTATAAATTCATCTTAGTGATCACTACTTCTTTTCTTAGGTGCTCATGAAACTCTTAAATGGTGCATTCTACTATTTAAACAGCATGAGGACTCTATTCTTACGTTGATTGAAAATTTGGTAAAACAATTAAGAATTATAATTTTTAGGTTTTCAATAGCTTGAACTGTCATTCGCAATTATTGCTTAAAAAACACCTACCCAGTGCTCCCTTTAGCAGCACATATACTAAAACTGGAACATAACAGAGATTAGCACAGCCCCGACACGCAAATTCGTGAAATGTCCCATATTAAAAAAAACAAAAAAACCAAAAACCCAAACCCAAATCCAATCCAAAACACTGCCTAAAAATCCACATAAAGGTAAAATAGGAAGGAAACTGGGTATAGTATTAATTCAGACTATTAAAAATATTTTTTTTTTCCTATTCAATACCACTTCTATAACTAGACTAGAAGACAAAAATGTCAAATAGCAAGGGAGGAAAATTTTGGACCACACAATGTGTTTCATTGTCAATGTCTCTTGAGACTTCCTTAATGTAGAATAGTTACTTAGCATCCCTTTGTCTTTTAGTAACACTGCCTTTTTTTTTTTTTAAGATTTTATTTATTTATTCATGAGAGACAGAGAGAGAGAGAGAGGCGGAGGGAGAAGCAGACTCCCTGCAGAGCAGGGAGCCCGATGCGGGACTCGATCCCAGGACCCTGGGATCACGATCTGAGCCAAAAGCAGATGCTTAACCGACTGAGCCACCCAGGCGTCCCATAACACTGCCATTTTTGTAGCTGCTCCTCGATTTGGGTTTGTGGTGTTTTCTCATGATTAGATGCAGGTGAGGCATTTTTTTTTTAAAGAATTTTTTTATTTATTCATTTGAGACAGAGAGATACATAGAGAAAGAGATAGAGAGCAGGAGCAGTGGGGAGAGGCAGAGGAAGATGGAGAAGCAGACTCCCTGCTGAGCAGGGAGCCCAACGCAGGGCTCGATCCCAGGACCTGGAGATCATGACCTGAGCGGAAGGCAGACGCTTAACCATCTGAGTCACCCAGGCGCCCCACAGGTCAGGCATTTTTTTTTTTTTAAAGATTTTATTTATTTATTTGACAGAGAGAGAGATAGCGAGAGCAGGAACACAAGCAGAGGGAGTGGGAGAGGGAGAAGCAGGCTTCCCGCGGAGCAGGGAGCCCGATGCGGGGCTCGATCCCAGGACCCCGGGATCATGACCTGAGCCGAAGGCAGACGCTTAACGACTGAGCCACCCAGGCGCCCCAGGTCAGGCATTTTTAACAGGAATAACTCAGAAGTGAGGTCTTCTCAGTGAATATATTATGAGGCATATGATGTCAATGTTCCCCATTTCTGGTGATTAACTTTGATCACTTGGATGAGGTGTCTGTCAGGTGGCCACACTGCAAAATTACTTTTTTCCCTTGGTAATTGTATAACTGTTCTATACCTCATCAGACTTTGACCCATGGCCTTTAGCATCCATTGAGGATTTTTGCCTGAGTCAACTATTACTATGACGGTTGCCAAATGGTAGCTTAATAATTTTAACATCTCCAAATAGCTAGTCTGCACAATAAATATTTGTTTTAAAAAAATGAGTAAATTGATTTAACACAAGGCCCTTTCCCCAGGCCTCATACAGCAATACTTCCTAACTTCTGACTTCTTACTGGTCTTGACTCTACTGTGGTGAGGAGAGCTGCTCTACGATAAACCTAATCCTGGCCCAAGGTTAGTACTGTGCCTTGCAATGTTGTAAGGTAAAATTCACAAAGCAGCATTTTATTTTATTATTCATGCAAAAGCCAGTCATGCCTGTGGCTGGTAACAATATAACTCTAATGAATGTGAATGGCTGTGCAGTAATTTCACGCCATGTTGAGTTTGTTCTCTCTTAACTTGAGGTAGCAGATGCTTTAGTTCAGCTCAAACAGTACCACAGAACACAGATAAGTGTGGAAGCCTGTTACACAGGAATTCTATTTTTTTTGTTACTGAAAGGCTTGCTGTGCTTAGTTCTTCTGTGGCTGCAATACCCTGGTTATTCCAATTGTATTTGTTAATGAAGCTCCAGCTGTAGAAATGATGAACAAAATTTAGGGCAACTTGCCTTGTTAAAGAAAAAAGGTGCCATCCCTTGGTCTACAATTCACTTACTGGTCACTTTCTCTACTAAATACTGGAAGCCTTATATAAAACAGTGCATCTGTCATTTTACCTCATTATCTTCATGGGCAATCAAGTTACACTAAATACAGTTTTAAGGGTTGTGAAAAAAGAATCCTTTCTTACATCTGCCTGGAGTACATCAATCCTCTACACTGAGAATACCAGTTCAACTGTTTTTTAAACAGCCAGAAGAATCCACAAGCCATTCTTCAGAGAAATATAGTCAGCCAAACGAGTACAAAACCAAATAGGAAGCTTTTTAGATCTGGTGTGGTTGTTTTGTTTGTAGAGCTTTCTTAATCCTAGGAAACTCTGACCACTGCCACAAATCTGCTTAAATTACTGACAAGTAGAAGGGTTAGAATGAAACAAGAATGAAGCTTATTGGGGATACATTCCCAGGCACTAGAACCTAACATTACAACAGCTTTAAATTAGTATAACTACTAAGCAAGATCTCCAAGAAATTATATGCTCCACATTCATTTTATGTGAAGAATCTTTTCCCCACATGGGTTAGCAGTTTTAAAGTTCATGTTTCTGATACAGGTTTTTAACTATTCCGAGCAAATAAATAATTTATAATGAGAATGTTTTACTCGGATTGAGAAAATCAGGTTCTTCTAATTCTACTCACATAAACTTGTAATCAGCAATCTTCTATTTTTTGCTATACACACTACAATTACTACGTCAACTGTACCAATACAGTACGTATCTCAGTAACAGAATCTCTTAACTAGACTCTAAATATTTAGATTATTGCCTTCGTGTTCATTTTGATATTCATTCCTTAAAAGTTATTTTTACTTATATTTAGATTAAGTCAGCTTGAGAAAACAATCGCAAACTATGAGGTAAAATTTTTGACAACAAATAAATCTAAAAAAATGTATCTTATTTGTACCTTAGTCCCTGTTACATGTTCAAGGACACTACAGGTTAAGGAATAAAGAATTTATTTTTACATCTCTTTGGTCTTTCTAACCAAAATTTTAACAGGCTACAGTTTGTGTACTTTGACATAATTTATAGAGTTGCACACCGTTCAGAGGAATAAATTTTCTAGGCTTCCCTGTCTCCACCCAAAGACACATGAAAAAAGATTCTCATAATTAGGTAATTTGTTCCATCAGTTGGGGTTTTCTGATGTTTGGTTTTTCTTTTGTATTTATCCAAATTTGGTATTTGCTGAGTTAGCTCTATATATAAGAAAGAGATCCTTGTCCTTTTTTTCAAGATACTTCTCCTAAACTGATCTTCAGATTTGTTAATCTGATACTACAAGGAAAAAAGACTAAACCAAAGCAGTGAAATGGTTCATTCTTTTTCTCATATCCTCACATTCCACTATTGACCAGAAGAATCAAAACATCTACATTTACTTGAAAGAGTTAAATATGAACTTAAACATCCTCTGACTCTGTTGTTTAAACAAGTGTAAAGAGCAATGATCCTAGCAGGTGAGACATCACTGGGCCATTCTGATCTGTAGTGAGAT